GGGATGTGATTCTGTTTCTCCCCAAGTGTACAGTGCTGCTCAACTCAAGCGTGACTTACGTCAGACGCCGTACCACAGTACTCTTAGGCTGCTCCAGAGTTGTGATGGTGACATTGCACTGGGACTCAGTAGTGCATGCTGCTACTAGAGGCATACCAGCTACAACTACGCCGTGGTAGCCGAGTATTACCTGAGCTTACATGAGCCACTACTTGACGTTGTGCGGATACTTAGTAGGAGAGCTCCGTCTGTCACCCATTGCAATGCACCTGAGGCCGTTACTGGCTCTTACTTCTGGGTGGCTCGAACGCGATCAGTAACTGTCGTGCACGCGTTTATCAGCATCCGGCATCGCACGCGTTTCACGGGCACATCGACTTTATTGTCAAGCCATACCATACCATGGTGTCAATATTACAAATGACCTTCGCTTACTTATCGCTTAATTTAAGGCGGCCTTTGCAGCAGGAGATTGTTAACCAGCCACCTCGAGAGTTAATCGCTTGGAGCCGGAAGCAAGGGAAGCAATCGTTTTGGCAATCACTGGTTAGGGAGGCAGCGGCGGAAAGAGCAGGGGATCAATCAGAGAGACGAAGGTGGTCTTTCCGTTGGAGTCAGGATTTAGAATTGGAGTTTAGAGAGCACGAGATCCTGACAGCGCATGAGAGAGAGGCTGGAGGCAGCTGATCAGATGTACTAGGGTTGGATAAAGCGGCTGCTCAGACGAAGTAGTAGCACCCACGGCGTTGATACTAGTTTTCGTGAGAGTGACGTGTGGAGAGATTACTAGGAAGCCGGAACGATCCGGAATAGGAGGAAGGAACATATCTTGCTGGAATGGCGGAAGTAGTAGCGGCTGTGATTCGCCAGCGAGGCGGCAGCAACCGCGTGGTGGACGGCGATCTCGAGGACTTCCTCTTCGGCGACGATGCTGACACGTCAGACATCGGCAATCGCAGCCGTCGATCCAGCCTCAGCTTCGAGCCGCTCAGGATGCACGACGGCGACGCCGGCGGCGGCGGCGCTCACGGCGGGGGGCACGGCGGGGGGCACGGGGACAGGAGGCGGATGAGCGTGGAGGAGAAGAACGCGGTGTGGCGGGAAAGCGTGCGCGCGCGCGTGTCGTTCAAGCGCGGAGGGGGGGGCTCGCGCGGGGAGCCGGAGCAGCAGGAGCCTCTGGTTGAGCGGAGCGGGGAAATGCCAGTCGGGCGGAGCGGAGAGCTGGTTATGAATCGGTCGCGGCCGCTAACGCCGCCGCTAGGCACGGGGACAGAGCGAAGTGGCGTGTCGGGGATTTGGAAACTTCAATTAGAAGCGGCGTGTCGGGCGGCGAGAGGGGAACGGAGAGGGAACAGATCGGAGCGCAACGCCCAACGGATTCGAGCGAGCTGGCAAAGCGGGTTCTCATAGGAGAGGGACGCGGCGGTGGTGGCGGCTGCGGCGGCGGTTCCATCGGTGTCTGCGGCGGTGGCGATCTGGGGGGGGGGCAGAAGGAAAGGAGGAAGGAAGCGCCGTGGGGACCGGGAGCAAGGCGGGGCGAGACTCGGCGAATGTGTCGAAAAGGTGGGAAAGAGACGAGGAGGTGAGGAGAGAGAGAGAGCGGATTGAGAGGGGATAGACTAAAGTGATTCAGATCAGAAGAGGAAGGGACGCCGTGGGGATTGGGAGTAGAGCGGGGCGAGACTAGGCGAATGTGTCAAAACAGGTGGGGAAACGAGACGAGGAGGTGAGGGGAACAACGGAGAGATCAATTAGGAGGAGGAGAGGAGGAGGAGGAGGGAGGAGCGCCGTGGACTGGGAGCAATAATGGGGAGAGACTCGCAAATGTGTCGAAAAGGTGGGAGAATAAGGGGAGGTAAGGAGGGGAGAGAGGGAGATTGAGCGGAGGTGAGGGAGAGAGAGGGGCGATTGAGAGTGGAAATAGGAACGACTAAGGTCAGAAGGACGAGGGAAGCGTCACGAGGACTGGGAGCCGAGTGGGGCGGACTCGGCGAGTGTGTCAAAAAGGTGGGGAGAAAGGCGAGGAAACTATGGTTAAGGTTAGGAGGATGGTGGGGGAGGTAGAGCGTGGAATGGAGTGCAGTGAACAAGGTCACCGCGAGAGGTGAGTAAGGGACGTAAGGAAGCAACGGAGAGAACAGGGTCAGAAGGGGACGGAAGTGCCGTGGAATTGGAAGTAGCGTGGGGAAGGGGGGGTTGGGAAAGGTGGGGAACGGTGGGAAACGTGGGAACAGGAGTAGTAGGAATGGAGAAGTGACGTTGACATACTCACCCTAATACTGGAGGGTTTCTTCCCAGACAGTTTCGCGTCCCCAATCCACCACTCATCGTCGTCATCTCCCACAACATCCCTCCCGAACCTCCCGTGCAGGTCCGGCATGCCTCAACGCTTGTCCCTCTCTCCGCTGCTTCACCACCCAGTCCATGCCAAGCTGCACCCCTGCAGAGAGCTACTCATCTCAAGGGGTCCTAGCAGCACACGCACATTCCCTCCCCTCTTTCTCTTCCCCTCCTTCCCTCCCCCTCCTCCTCCCTCCTCCCCTCCCCCCTCCTCCCTCCTCCCCTCCTCCCCCTCCTCCCCTCCTCCCCTCCTCCCCCTCCCTCCCCTCCTCCCCCTCCTCCTCCCTCCCTCCCCTCCTCCCCTCCGTCTTAACCCTCCTGTTCAGGTCCTCAGTCGTTGCCCCTCTCTCTGCAGCCACTCCAGGCAAAGCCGCACCGCCCCCTACAGGGTACGACCATCTCAGGAGTCCCCATGGGCAAGCACACTCACATCCTCCTCCCAGACGGCACCTTCAAGGTGCCCACAGCGGACGACGCCAGGCACCGCCGGGCAGCAGCAATTGATAGTAACTCACGCCCCTCACTACCCCCCGCCTCTCCCTCTCGAACCTCCCGTGCAGGTCCGGCCACGCCTCATTGGTCGTCCCTCTCTCGTCGTCTTCAGCCACACAGAAAAGCCGCGCCCCCTACAGAGTACGACCCGTCTCAGGAGGTCCCCATGGGCAAGCACACTCACATCCTCCTCCCCAGACGGCACCTTCAAGGTGCCCACTGCTGAAGACGTGGGCACCACGGGGCAGCAGACCACGGCAGGAGCAGCGGCGCTGGGGGGGGGAGCAGCCGGCCGGCGCGGCAGCCCATGGCGGTGCACTGGGAGGACTGGGCGAGCGACGAGGAGGAGGACGAGGAGCAGCTCGACGCTGTCGTGCTGGAAGGTGGGTGGTGGGGGAATTGGGGTGAATCATAGTTGATAAACTGATGCTAAATGATAAGGCATTGGGGGGACTGGGCGAGTTCTGTCAGTGTGGGAAAATTCTTAGAATTCTAAAAGGCTTCCCCTTTGCCCCTCCCTTCCTGCCTCGCTTTCCCCACTCCCGCTGTCCCACCAGACATATATTTCATGGTTAACGCTGTGGACAAGCGGCCGGACGTCTACAAAAACCTGGTGTCGTTCCTCTGCTTCATCGCTCTCTACATGCAAGCACACCTCCCTTCTCCCTCCTCCCCGCTCTCTGCCCTCTCTCTCCCTCCTCCCCTCTCTCTCCCTTCTCGCCTGTCCCTCCTCCCCTGCTGCTGCACATCACAGACATCTATTTCAAGGTGAAGGCGGCGGACAAGCGGCTGGGACGACTACAAGAACCCGGTGACGCCCCTCTGCTTCATTGCGCTCTACATGGTGGTGCTCTACATATATGAAAGCTGCCTCAAGTTCGCTTTCCCCTCCTCCCCTATCCCCCCAGATATTTATTTCAAGGTGAAAGCGGCAGATAAACGGTTAGATGACTACAAGAACCTGGTGTCGTTCCTCTGCTTCATTGCGCTCTACATGGTCGTGCTCTACATGCAAGCGGATTCTACAGATGGATACGAGGTGTCAACGGCGCATAATATTCTGCTTCCATCAGTGAGTGTCACTTCAGCATGCTGGCCTCTAGTCGTCGTGCTCTGCGTGCAAGCAGACTCGACTGATGGATACAATACTAGGTGACAACAACTGTGCATAATATTTTGCTCCCTGTAAGCACGAGATGTTAACATGGTGAGGGAGTCCGGTAGTGTGTGATATGCTTGGAGCATGCTTGGAGCATGCTTGGAGCATGCTTGGAGCTACATATCCCGCCATGATTCTCATGCCATCGTCTACATGGTCCGGTAGTGTGACACCTCACTACATATGTAATCGATGTGCCTACGCACTCGATGTTAACCCGCTTGGCTGCTCAAAGAAGAAGAAGCAGCTTAGCTCATACTCGCCCTCGCCCTTTCTCCTTGCCCAATCCCACCCACATCCTCCTCAACTCCCCAGGGAGCGTCAGGGAGTGAGCTCAACTCTATGAGCGGACCGGACGAGATGTACCAGTGGGTTAACGACAGCATTATACAGGTGCGCAAAAGTCAAAGAAGCAAACTTGTCACGCCAGAGTTGTACCAGCAGCTGGCTGGCTGCAAAAATCCCTGAAGTCCTCAAGTCCTGGCTTGGACATGCCGAAGCCCTCAAGTCCCGGACATGCCAGCTTCTATTCTCGATTCTCCTCTGCTTGGACTGCTGAATCAACGCTCTGACCTGACCCCAACCCTGAACGAAATGCAGGCATTCGCCCTGACCCAACCCCCGTTTCTCAGTCTTAATTTAAAGAACTACGCATAGTACGGGTGTTTTTGTGCGCCTGTCCGTCCAGTCCGACTTCGCGACTTTTGGTTGACTGGAAAGCTTCTTTGCACATTCCATCTCCCCTCGTAGGTGATTTTATAGTCGATTCAAAAACCGCATTCTCTCTCCCCTCGTAGGTGATTTTTTAGTCGATTCAAAAACCGCATTCTATCTATCTCCCCTCTCTGCTGTGCAGGTGGTGTGGGAGGGGCCCCATTGCGGCAACAGTGTCTGTGATAACCCCTTGGAGTATGCTGCGTTTGGCCGATTCGGGTGTGAGGCAGACTGCGGGGTGTTTGAGAACGTGACCCACGTGGTGGTGCACATCCACTCGGCGTTTGCCTCTCAAACCGACATGCAGGGCAGCTCTTGGAATTTATGCATGGCGCAGCCGACCAACCTGTGCTGGTGAGAAGCGCTGATTTCTGTTAGTGAGACGAGGAAACTTTAGGGTTTAGGGTGACGTGGAACCCATGTGACGTGCACGGCAGCTCCTGGAATTTGTGCATGGAGCAGCCCACCAACCTCTGCTGGTGAGAGGCAGGCACGCCTGTGCTGGTGAGAGAGTAAGAGCGAGTGAGTGAGGGAGCGAGTGAGCAAGCGAGTGAGTGAGTGAGGGAGTGAGTGCAAGAGAGATAGAGAGTGTAGGTGCCATTCTCTCTTCCTTCTCATTCCTTTCTACACTGCTCCCCTCCCCATTACGTCACCCAAGGTCGAGGAGCCTGAGGGGTTGTCCGACCTGCACTCAGAAGCCAGATGAATTTGAGTCAACTCAAAAGTGATCCCCTCAATTGATCCCCCCAAAATCGATCCCCTTCCCTTTGGCTTCACCCAGGTTCGAGGAGCCTCAGGGGTTTTCCGAGCTACACTCAGAAACCGCTTTGGACCTCTTTATTCCGGACGGCGACTGGCAGATCAAGCTCGACGCGCCGGGCGGCGGCGTTCGGGGTTAGTGCAGGTGGTCGGCGCGCTCAGCAGCAACGCCACCCTGCAACGAACCAATGGCAGGGGGGGCCGAACCAGCGCCCGAGGCTCGGCAACAGGCTGGGGAACAGGCTGGAGCGTGTCAGGGAATGGAGGAGCGGGAGGGGGGGATGTGGGGGTAGTGGAAACACCCTTGGCCCAGCTGACAGACCTAGGAGCGAGTAAAGACGTGGTGGTGTCGTGGGGGGGTGTGCGACAAGCAAGACGACAGTGGCGAATGGGCGGTCGGCGGCTTTAGCTAAGAGGCTCTATGGGTGCAGGGAGACGTGCGGTGTGATGGCGATGTGCATGCAGGAGGCATGTGTGAATGTGGATATGGAGGAGGCGTCGGGGGTGTTTGTGGACTGCGCTGTGGTGTGCAATATGGCTCCCTTCACCATCACGCAGTACAGCAACTGGACCTGCACTCAGGTGAGCGGTCTTGCACAGGGGTATGCGGTGTAATGCGGTGCGGTAGGGTGCTGCTATATGGTGCTGTATGTGTGTTCGTGGGCTGCGCTGTGGTGTGCAACATGGCTCCCTTCACCATCACGCTGTACAGCAACTGGACCTGCGCTCAGGTGGGTGCTGCTTAGTGCGGTGCTACGCGGTGCTGATGTGTGCAGCATGGTTCCCTCCCTTCACCATCACGAAATACAGCAACTGGACCTGCATTGAGGTGAGCGCGATCTTTCTGGTGCTGTGATATGCATTATGGCGGCACCAGAAAGATCTTTCTGGTGCTGTGATATGCATTATGGCAGCACCAGAAAGATCGCGCAAGGGAAACGGCAAACATGCATATTAGCGATCTTTCTGGCGGCATGTTGCCGTTTCCCTTCCTCCACAAACAGGTCAAACTTAACAACCCCGAAGCCACATGCTCTCGTTCTCACCTCTGCAACCCCTGCCCCCATGTGCCCGCCCTCCTCTCTCACCAGATGCCAGGGATCACCATCACTATCCTCGTTGTTTAAGGCTAGTACCGAGCTGACTTTTGAGTCGACTTAAAAGGGGATCACCATCACTATCCTCGTTGTTTAAGGCTCCTAGTAACTGGCTTTTCTGTGATCCCCACCCGCTCCCATGCTCCCCTCCTCCCCACCTTCCCACATGTCCCCGTTCCCTCCTCCCCACTTCCCCACCCGCCCCTGTGCCCCCGCCCTCTCTGAACAGATGCTAGGGATCACCACCACTGTACTGAAGAATGTGAATTGCTCGTGTAAGGGCCTCTTGTAAAGCGTCCCGCTTTAAGAATGTAACCTCAAAATGTCAGATAGAGTGTGTACTATCGGGGTAAACCATCCGTCTAAGCTTTAAGTCCCTACCAGGGAGCTTAGACGTCTAAGCTCCCTTGGTAGGTGTCTGCATCAGCAGTCGCGTTTTTGCAATCGAGTGCTCAACTCTCAAGGAAAACGTTCTCGATCACAACAATCGTAGGTATGCCGTATTTTTATTGGGCTATCGTCGTTGCATTGTTGTGATCTTGCAGTCTACGACTCCCTGCCGCTCCCTTGATGTATGATATTCCTGATCCCTGCAGTGAATGCTACTTATGTCAAGGCTCTGAAACGAAATGCCAGCAGCAGCAGCTCTGCGCCCAGCAGCAACAGCAGTGCGCATGTGAGTTAAGCAACCATGTGCGAATGTGCTGTGTTGCACCAGCAGCATACATGTAGGTGTCGTTTACGCATGTGTGTGCATATCATTTGTGTGTATGCATGTGTGTGCATATCATTTGTGTGTATGCATGTGTGTGCATATCATATGTGTGTATGCATGTGTGTGCATATCATATGTGGGTATGGATGTGTGCATATCACATCACATGTGTGTATGCCACTTATCATAAGAGCTCTCAAGCATCGCTGTGTGTGAACATGGCCATGGCTCCCTCTCGCTCTCTCTTTCTTCTCACATGCCCATGTTCACCCCCGCGGCCTGCCCGGCCCGTTTCACCTGCTGAGTGAAACGGGCATATCCGACTCAAAAGCCGCCTCAAACGTTACTGTGGTGACTTTGCCTCTCTTGCCATCCACCCATACTCCATCTTACCTGGCTCACCCATACTCGTTTCGTTGGATCGCCCATGCCCCCTCTTCAGGCGTCATCATCACACCAGCAGCGCTTGTTTTTTAGGTGCCTAAAAAACACACCCATACTCCATCTTACCTGGCTCACCCATACTCGTTTCCAAGCATCATCCATGCCCTTTCTTCAGGCGTCATCACCACACCAGCAGCGCTTGCTGCAGCTGGCTAGGAGGCAACTACCCCGTACACCAGCACAGTGGCAACCACAGGGGCATGCGCCGCGCCCTTTGTGCTCCATGGCCTTTTTTACGCGTCCCTCCTCCTTCCGCCCCTCTCTGCCAATCATCCTTCCTTACCCTCCCCCAGGCATCATCTCACCAGCGGCGCTTGCTACAACTGGCTGGGAGGCAACTACCCCGCACACCATCCCAGCGGCAACCACAGGGGCATACGCAGCGGCTTTTGCGCTCCGGTGCCTTTTCTGATGCCGCTCAAAACGAGATGCTCAAAGTTCCGACGACCTCTCAGAGGACGATGCATTCGGTTGGGGGAGAAGGAGCTGCGGGGAAGACGCTAAGCTTTCGTTTTGAGATGTCTCAAAACGAAATTAGCAACAGCCGGCCGAGGAAGATGCGTTCGGTTGGGGGAGAAGGGACAGTGAGAAAGACGCTGAGCTTTCAGGGGGAATCGGATGGTGGTATGCCTCGTCCTCCCCACCATCACCCTCGTTGGCACGTGAGGCGGAAAGCACCGATGGGTGGGCGGAAGGATGGAGGAAAAGCATTGGAAGGAGCAGCAGCGGCAGAAGCTGAGGCGAGGGAGGTTACGGAAGAAGCAGAAGGGACAGGAGAGGCAGCAGGGGATGCAGAAGCGGAGGAGAAAGGCGAAGAAGAAGAAGAGGAACAAGTAGATGAGGAAGAGGAAATAATTAACCACGAGGAGGAAAGAAGTCTGTGGAGAGGCAGCAGTAGCAGCAGCAGCAGCAGAAGCAGCAGCAGCAGCAGCAGAACAGAGAGCATGGGAAGCATGAGCCTGAGTGGATCCATGACCCATAGAGCCCTCAATGCCGGTGCGTTCCCTTGACTCTCTGCCTGCTGCACTCACACCCTCTCCGTTCCCTTTTGTGGTAGGCTTTTTGTATTTCTTTAAACGTTTCACTGTAGCATCCTGGTTCCATCCAAACCCTGCTTCCTGTCAGCAGCAGGCACGTTGAGCCAACTCAGAAGCCCCTCCCCACTCCTGCCCCCGTCCTCTGTCCCGCTTTATCAGCAGTGCCCGCACCCAACCAAGTCGGACTGAGACCTGCTGCTGCTGCTTCTTTCTCTCCACAAGAGCTGCAACCACAAGCTCGACAACAGACACAGCAGCAGCAGCAGCAGCAGCAGCAGCAGCAGCAGCAGCAGCAGCAGGCAAACTTGCAGGCAAACATACAGGCAAGCACACAGGCGAGCACACAGGCAAGCACACAGGCAGACACAGATGCATGGGCTGCCCTCGGCCCCACGGACCGGCAACGGTGGTTCAACCTGCGGGTGGCAGTGGGACGAGCCCTCTACTCGTGGGTGGGGGACGCGTGCCTCGCTGACCGCTTCTCTACAGTCACTCTCGACACTGCCACCCGCGCCCGCGTCTCGGCCCTGTTCTGTGGGCTGTTGAATAGTCAGGGGGCAGTGCAGGGGGTGCAGGGGGTGCAGGGGGTGCAGGGTGCTACTTCTAATGCTGCTGCTAATGCTAGTGCTGGTGCTGGAAGGTTGGAAATCACTGACACAGTCCTAGCGAACGAAGCAGCAGCAACAGGAGGAGATGCTGCTCTGGTGGACAGTAGCTTGGCAGGAGTTCGTTCGATTGGTGGTCAAGTGGTTGATGTGGCAGCAGTGGGAGGGGGTGGCTGTGCGCTTGGGCCTTTCACGTCCGTGCATGGGTCCATGGCTGCTGCAGCTGCTTACTACGCCTTCCACGGTCTTCCTCCTCCTCCTGCTGCTGCTGCTGCTGCTCCCGCTGCTTCCAACAGTACAACCAAGAACGGCACTGCTTCTAATGGGACTGCTTCTAACGGGTCTGCTTCTAACGAAACGGCATCTTCCATCAGTGTGTCTGCTCTGCTCTCCCGGCGCCTGCGCATGTCCCGAGACCAGTTCGCGCGGTTCGTAGGAACCTTCCTGGATGCGGTGGAGTCGGTGGTGGCGGTGGATGGTGCCACCTTGGCTCGCCTCTCCTCTCACCTCTACGTTGCGGCGATCGACCTGGTTGACAGCGAGCTGGAGGGCTGCAGCCTGCGTGAGTGTTGCTTTGCTGCTCTCCTTCACTTGTTCCCTTGTCCTCTCACCTCTACGTCACGGTGATCAACCTGGTTGACAGTGAGCTGGAGGGCTGCAGTCTGCATGAGGTTTGCTTTGCGACAGTGTGCTTTTTGTGTCCAGATGTCTGCTTCACTACGCTCCCTCATCCTTCCGTTCCCGCATCACCTTGCCCCTTGCAGATGGGCAATGGGGCCAAGGCGGGTTTCAATGTGACAGTATGGAGGGGCTGCAGTGTGAGACTGTGGAGTGGAGTTCATGTGAGCGGATTGACTACACCCACCCTCATCAATAATGTCTCACCCCAACCCCCACCACCCCCCCCCCCCCCCTCCCCCCTCTCCCCCCCACCCCACCCATCCCTCCGTCCTTTCCCCCTTGCCCAATGCAGACGGGCGCATGTTGGAGTGGGCAGTGGGGGCGGATCTCAACGTGACAGTAGGAAGGGGCGACAGTGTGCAGTTGGTGTGGGCCCATGTCCCCCTCTGCCACTGCAGCCCTCCCCTTCTTCCTTTCCTCCTTGCTCCTTGCAGACGGGCGCATGTTGGAGTGGGCAGTGGGGGCTGATTTCAATGTGACAGTAGGGAGGGGCGACAGTGTGCAGTTCGTGTGGGCCGACGACTACCCTCACTCCGTTAAGAGTGAGTGCTGTACCCCTTACAAGCTCCCTTCCTCTCCCTTCAGTCATACCATCTATGAGCCTGTTAGTGAATGGCAGTCCTCGTTTGTAGGTTCTCCCAGTACACTGCACTAGCCTTGCCATGTTTCCTCTAGGCTTTCCCCAACGGTCTGCCGGCATCACATCACCTAGCAGGCTAACCAAGAGGGGGTGCCATCACTGTGCTAGAGGAGAGGGTCTGCACCCCCTCGCGGGCTTTTCCCCCCCCGCTCCCTCTCCTCCTTTTCAAAGGCTATGGCACCAACCAACTGCATGGTGCTTTCTCCTCTCTCCCCCCCTTTCTTCCCGTCCCCGGCCTGGGCAGCAGCACGGCCGACGGCCTGTTCAAGGGCTACGGCACCAACCGCTTGGTGGTGTCTTCTCCTCCCCGTCTTTCCCTCCCTGTCTTCCCATTCCCTCTCCCCTCTTCCCTTCCCTCTCTTGCCTCCAGTCCGCGGCCTGGGCAGCAGCATGGGCGACAGCCTGTTCAAGGGCTATGGCACCAACCGCATGGTGCTGTCGAGGCACAGCCGGTGCGCTCCGGACAATGTGGGCACCATGCCCCTTGACGGCCCGCCACACCCGTGCGCGCTCTGTGAGTTGCGCCGTTTGTGAGTTGCTCTCAATGTGGTCTGATGTCTCAAAGTGTCCATCCCGTGGCACCCATGCGCGCTCTGTGAGATGGGCACCCCCCCTCTTCATCGATGCTGCTATTTTCACCCAACCAAGCTCCTACAAAGTGGAGTGCGGCTGGTTCGTGCTTAGAAGCTTGCCTCTCCCCCTCCCGCCTCTCCCCTTCCCCTCCCCCCCCTTCCCCCTCTCCCCTTCCCGTCTCCCCCTCCCCCATCTCCCCTTCCCCTCTCCCCCCTCCTCCCTCTCCCCATCCCCCTCTCCCCTTTCCCTCTCTCCCCCTCCCCCCTCCCCATCCCCCTCTCCCCTTGCCCTCTCCCCCCTACCCTAACGGATGGATGGACCCTGATGGACACTCCCTCCTTCACCTACTCTGCTGTTTTCACTCAACCCGGCTCGCACCAAGCAGAGTGCGGGCGGTGCGTGGTTAGAGGCATCTCAACACACTCTCGCCTTCTAACCCCCCTCCCCCCTTTCTCCACCTCCCACCAGACAGCCTGGCGGACAACCCCCCCTTCACCTACGCTGCTGTCTTCACCCAAACCGGCTCATACAAAGTGGAGTGCGAGCAGTGGGTGCTTAGAGGCCATGTAACACTCTCTCTCCCTCTCCCCATCCTCTCTCCCCCTCCCCTCTCCCTCCCTCCACTCTCCCTCGTTCCACTACCAGATGGGCCCACGGACACCCCCTCCTCCGCCTACGCTGCTGTCTTCACCCAATCCGGCTCATACAAAGTGGAGCCTTGTAACACCACCTCTCCTCCCCCTCCCCCCTCTCACCCTCCCCTACCAGATGGGCCCGCGGACACCCCCTCCTTCACCTATGCTGCTGTCTTCACCCAAACCGGCTCCTACAAAGTGGAGTGCGGGCGGTTTGGTGCCGATATGACAGCCACGATCCACGTTGTGGACGATAGCGAAGACGACACTAGTGAGTATGCTTGTATGACATATAGCAGGGTACTATGTGCTGACATTACTGCATTCATCTGCTGATATTACTGCTTTCGTGTGCTGATATGACTGCCACGATCCACGTTGTGGACGATAGCGAATTCGACTCTAGTGAGTATGCTGATGCGACTTGAATCAAGCATGTCATGTTATGTAGCAGGTGATTCCCGAGATGCCTGCTGTGGCACACGTGGTGGGCAATAGCGAGGACGACTCTAGTGAGTATGCTGCAGTGCCATATAGTAACCACCGCGTTCTTTCTGCCTCCATAATCAGCCGGCAGGCCTAAACCACCCCTCTGACCTTCCTTCCCCTGCCCTGTCTCCCAGGTTCCCTCTGAAACCTTTCTTTGACTCCAGCGCAACCTGGTGACTTTGGAGTCGACTCGAAAGCCTTCCCCTGCCCTTTCCCCCAGTCTCCCTCCTCAACCCTTTCTTTGACTCCAGCGCAACCACCAATGCCACCACCAACACCACCGCCCCCTCCCATCTCTCCTTCTCCTGCTACCCCGGCCGGCTGCTTTCTCAGAACCCTAGCGGACGGCTGCTGCGACCCCCTCTGCACCAACCACCACTGTGCATTCGACGGGGGGTACTGTGGGTGCGCAGCATTGGAGGGTCAACAACCATGCTTTGAAGCATCCGTTTTGTTCACAGTGCTTTTCATTCCCTTCCTCCCCCCCATCCTCCCCTTTTTCAACCTTGCAGTTTCTTTCCTCGACCCTTTTTTTGACGCCACAAACGCCACCGGAACCACCACCGAATCCCCTCTTTCCTCCTCATGCTACCCCGGCTGCTTTCTCGGGAGCCTAGCGGACGGCCGCTGCGACCCCCTCTGCAACAATCACCACTGCGCCTTCGACGGGGGGGACTGCGAGTGCGCAGCGTTGGGGGGCAGTGGGGGGGGCGTGGGGGGGGAGTGCCCGTGCCCTGCAGGTCAAACGAGGTCGGACGCGGGGGCGTGTTGCCCCACGGACGCAGTGGGGGCGAACCTGCTGTTTCCCTTCCAGCTGCGGTCGTTTGGGCCGGACATCCACGCCAGCAACACTCAGTTCTCGGAGCTTTATGAAAAGCCTCTGCACCGCCACGTCACCGAGAGAAACAGGTGGGTTGAAGGGGGACTAGGGGGTGTGGTTTATAACAAGTGGGGTCATAGTTAATTTGAGCTCTCAGTTTTCCGACACGCACTTCTCAGAGCTCTATGAGAAGCCTCTGCACCGCCACGTGACGGAGAGGAACACGTGGGATGAGAGGGGAAGGGATAGGAGCAGGTGGGGGGGAGCCTGCTGTTCCCCTTCCAGCTGCGGTCGTTTGGGCCGGACATGCATGCCAGCAACACGCACTTCTCAGAGCTGTATGAGAAGCCTCTGTACCGCCACTTGACGGAGAGGAACAGGTGGGTTACAGGGGGAAGGACGAGAGGGGAATGGAGCGGGGAGGGGGAAGGGGGGGGGGGAGTGAGAGGAGGAACAGGTGAGGCTATAAGCTGTATTGAGTTCCTCGTTCCATCGCCTAAGCTCGCATCCAACCCGCAGTTCTCTAAGGTCTATGATGAGACGCCTTAGCACCAGCATGTGACGGAGAGAAGCTGGTGGGCTGAAGGGGGAAGTGTTGGAGATAGGCTGCAATGTTGCACATTTGTGTGTTAGTCATTTGTTTGTTTAGGGTTAGGAATGTTTGTTAGGTTGGGGGTGTAGCCTTTTTATCCCCAACCTATCCCAACCCAATCCATCCCAAATCCCCACGATTTGGGAGGATTCCCTTGAGGGATTCCCTCCGATTCCCCTTATCTCTTCCAACCCTCTCCTATGGTTAGTACTTAAGCTTGTATGCCCTCTCTCATTTTAATCAATCAAAGTCCCGTTGTCTTACAGGAAGGAGGGGCAGTCTCTTTCTCACTTCCTCTCTCACCTGCACTTGCCATCTCTCCCCTCTGATGCCGGTTGCCGTCAACCTCTGTGTCCTGCAGCCTGCAACCCAATAGGGCACCCGCACCGCACCGCACTCTTCTCACCTTCCCCTTTCACCCTCTCTCACTTCCTCTTCCCTCTGTCTGCAGGCTGCTGGTCGGCCTCTACGTGCTGCAAACCCGCTGGGGCTCCCGGGAGTGCCCCTCCAAAAAGTGAGCACCTCTTGCGTAGTTAGTGAGTGAGAGTGAGTGAGAGAGTGAGACTGCGTGAGGGAGTGAGAGTGAGTGAGGGAGTGAGTGAGTGAGTGAGTAGTGAGAGTGAGTGAGAGAGTGAGTGAGTGCCCTAAGAATAGGTCTGTATGTACATCAATCCATCCCATTCTGATTTTGAGATGTCTCAGCATAATCTCAAAATAGATCTACTCCACGCTTCCCCCTCTAATTCCCTGCTCTGCTCTGCCATCCCTCTCACACCATCTCTCCGGTGCTTTCCCCTCTGCACCCTCCTGCACCACATTGTACCGCTCTTTGCTCCCTTTCACCCCCGAGGTTCTCTCTCGCCCTACTGCCTCAGCAACGCCGCCATGCTGTCGTCTGGCTTGAACTCAGGCTGTCGTTTGGCTTGAACTCAGGCTGTCGTTTAGCTTGAACTCAGGCTGTCGTTTGGCTTGAACTCAGGCTGTCGTTTGGCTTGAACTCAGGCTGTCGTTTGGCTTGAACTCATGCTGTCTCTCTCTCTCATGCCCTCCATCTCCATCTACCGCTGCATTCGCTGCATCCCTCCCATCCCCAATCGCCGCTTTCGAGGCGCCTCAAAACCGCGGATAAGGAGACGACTTTTGAGGCGCCTCAAAACCGCGGATAAGGAGACGACTTTTGAGGCGCCTCAAAACCGCGGATAAGGAGACGACTTTTGAGGCGCCTCAAAACTCCATTCGCTGCATCCCTCCCATCCCCAATCGCCGCTTTCTTTCTCCCCCCCTCCTCCCCTTTCGTCTCCCCTCTGCAGGTTCGCCAGCATTTGGCCGCACTGCCTGCCCAGCGCCACCACCACCACAACCCCCTTGGCCGTCAACCCACTCGTTTCTCCCTTCCCTTCCCTTTCCTCCTCTTTTCCCCCCTTAATCAGGTTCGCCAGCATCTGGCCGCACTGCCTCAGCAACGCCACCAGCTCGACTTCATTCGGCATCAACCCGCGCTTCCTCTCCACCTCACGTTTCTTCCCTACCTACCTATCTCTTTCTCTTCCCCCCTCCTCCCTCCCCCCCAACCCCACCCCACACACCCCCCCCCCCTTAATCAGGTTCGCCAGCATCTGGCTGCACTGCCTCAGCAACGCCACCAGCTCGACTTCATTCAGCATCAACCCGCGCTTCCTCTCCACCTCACATTCCTTGCCACCCCCTCGTGGCTCTCTTCCTTTTCCTTCTCCCTCCCCCCCGTTTTCAGATTCGCCAGCATCTGGCCAAACTGCCTCAGCAACGCCACCAGCCTGACCTCCTTTGGCATCAACCCGCGCTTCCTCTCCACGTCAGACCTTTACGACCCCCTCGTTGCCGCAGCCAATCAGACGGGCCTAGAGAACTCCACTTTCAGCTCCGCCCCTCTCTTCAACGATGAGGGGTTACCATATGGCTTCGTTCCTCCCATGGTGAGTGAGGGGTCAGTCAAGAGTGACGCGCCTTCTTTGATTATGGAAGGTTCTCGATGGATCCTTCCATACCGTGAGGCGCCTCACGGGCCTGGAGAACTCCACTTTCAGCTCCGCTCCCCTGGTCAACGATGAAGGCCTGCCGTATGGATCTGTTTTTCCCATGGTGAGTCAATGCGGCACCATGGTTAAGGCACCGCTGAGGCACCGCTGAGGCACCGCTGAGGCAATCAGTCGTTGCCTCAAAAGCACCAGCCAATCCCACGGGCCACGGGCCATGGGCCTAGAGAACTCACCTTCAGCTCCGCTCCTCTGTTCAACAACGATGGGCTGCATTGCGGATTCGTGTGCTCCACTCTCCACTCTCTACCTTCCCTCCCCTCTCCACCTTCCCTCCCCTCTCCACCCTCCCTCCCCTCTCCACCTTCCCTCCCCTCTCCACCTCCCTCCCCTCTCCACCTTCCCTCCCCTCTCCACCTCCCTCCCCTATCCACCTCCCTTCGACTCTTCCCCAGGACAATCTCGAGTCCTATCCGCTCATATTCGACGTGAATCTGCACTGGGTAACGGCCACAAACCCCTACACGTAAACTGCTGTTGATGTGCCTATGCCCTTTCTTTCCCTCCTCCCTCCCTCCTCTCCCTCTCCCCTGTCCACGACAATCTCGAGTCCTATCCGCTCATATTCGACGAGAATCTGCACTGGGTAACGGCCACAAACCCCTGCGCGTAAACTGCTGTTCATGTGCCTATGCCCTCTCTTTCCCTCCTCCCTCCCTCCTCTCCCTCTCCCTTGTCCAGGACAATCTCGAGTCCTATCCGCTCATATTCCACGAGAATCTGCACTGGTTAACGGCCACAAACCCCTCCGTGTAAACTGCTGTTAATGTGCCCATGCCCTCTCTTTCCCTCCTCCCTCCCTCCCCTCCCTCTCCCTTGACCAGGACAACCTCGGGTCCTATCCGCTCATATTCGACGTGAATCTGCACCGGGTGGCGGCCACAAAGCGGCTGCAGTATTTGGTGGACGGCTACTTCTTTGACAACCTCACGAAGTCAATCGAGTTCGCCGTCATCACCTATAACGCGGACGTCAACATGTTTGTGCTCTCAAAGGTGCGTTCAAAAGGCCTTCTCGAGTTGTCATGCCTGTTCTGATGAGCAGCAGCAAATGTGCTCACTGTGTGTAATGAGTCTATTTTTGAGTCGACTCAAAAATAATTAGTCTATTTTTTAGTCGACTAAAAAATAGACTCATTACACATGTTCCACATCACCTACAGCAGATGTGTTCTGGTAATTACCCGGCTTTGCTCAAGCCTACATCACCTATAGCATGCATGTCAGCATGCCCGTGCTCCCAAACGTGCACCTCAACCTTCCTGCCGCCCGCTCTCTCTCCCCAACCCTCTCCGCTCCTCCCCGTATCCCTCACCTCTCTCCCTTTCATTGCCGTCTTCTCTTCTCACTCCCAGGTGCTCATAGAGGTGGACGTGGGCGGAAAGCTGGGCTACACGTACAGGCTCGTGCCAATACCAGTAGAGCCCTACTCGTCAGCCTCCTCCTACGCCCAGATGGTGTTGGAGATAATCTACGTGGTGTGCGTGGCCTACAACCTCCTGGAGGAGATCAACGAGATGTTTCAGACGTACCGTCACACGGGCAGCTTTCTCTACCACTTTCGCCAGTTTGGCAACTGGATCGACCTGCTCTCGCTGGGGATCCAGATATGGGGCATCGTCGTCTGGTGAGTGCATGGGTTGTGGTGCGAGGCATGTTTCTCCTGTGTTCAGGAGGTATCCTGTTGTGGGACCTGGTCTTGCAAGGCATCCAGATCCATCCGGGGCATGGTTGTTTGGCGAGTGCCTGGCTGGGCTGTGGTGCCAGGAGCACATGTGCTCGGAATGTGAACCAAACTGGACAACGTCTTTCACTGCACTGGGTTGGACTCAACAAATGTTGGTTGAGTTTGAGACCCAACCGAAGTTGGTTGCAAACTCAACAAAAGTTGGTTGGCGAACGAACTTTGGTTGAGTTGGTTTACACTCACGTGGTGAACCAACCCAACTAGGAAGGTTAGTTTACCTTAACCAGGGTAAAAAACATAAATACATGCTACACAAGAAGTAACGGAGCTCGATGTGCTTTCAGCGGTCATGAAAGAGTGCATTGTTGATGAGGTGAATGATGCTCGTGTTGTCACACCAGATGTTGGAACAGGGCTGTGAAGGAGAATCAACGAGCCTCTTGTGCAACCATAGTGGCATCATAGTTACATAGGGCTCAGCCTTGCAGGAGGAAAAGGCGATGACCGAGGGGTGCCCAGACTGGAACGCCAGATGATAAGGCCACTGCCAACGTGCCATAATGGGAGTCTGATAAGGCCGCTGCCAACGTGCCATAATGGGATTCTGATAAGGCCGCTGCCAACATGCCATAATGGGAGTCTGATAAGGCCGCTGCCAACGTGCCATAATGGGAGTCTGATAAGGCCGCTGTCAACGTGCCATAATGGGAGTCTGATAAGGCCGCTGCCAACGTGCCATAATGGGAGTCTGATAAGGCCGCTGCCATGGGAGCTGATAAGGCCGCTGCCAACGTGCCATAATGGGAGTCTGATAAGGCCGCTGCCAACGTGCCATAATGGGAGTCTGATGAGGCCGCTGCCAACGTGCCATAATGGGAGTCTTATAAGCCCGCTGCCAACGTGCCATAATGGGAGTCTGATGAGGCCGCTGCCAACGTGCCATAATGGGAGTCTGATGAGGCCGCTGCCAACGTGCCATAATGGGAGTCTGATGAGGCCGCTGCCAACGTGCCATAATGGGAGTCTGATGAGGCCGCTGCCAACGTGCCATAATGGGAGTCTGATAAGGCCGCTGCCAACGTGCCATAATGGGATTCTGATGAGGCCGCTGCCAACGTTCCATAATGGGGCTGATAAGGCCGCTGCCAACATGCCATAATGGGAGTCTGATAAGGCCGCTGCCAACGTGCCATAATGGGAGTCTGATAAGGCCGCCGTCAACGTGCCATAATGGGAGTCTGATAAGGCCGCTGCCAACATGCCATAATGGGAATCTGATAAGGCCGCTGCCAACGTGCCATAATGGGAGTCTGATAAGGCTGCTGCCAACGTGCCATAATGGGAGCTGATAAGGCCGCTGCCAACATGCCATAATGGGAGTCTGATAAGGCCGCTGCCAACGTGCCATAATGGGAGTCTGATGAGGCCGCTGCCAACGTGCCATAATGGGAGTCCGATGAGGCCACTGCCAACGTGCCATAATGGGATTCGGATGAGGCCGCTGCCAACGTGCCATAATCGGAGTCTGATAAGGCCGCTGCCAACGTGCCATAATGGGAGTCTGATGAGGCCGCTGCCAACGTGCCATAATGGGAGTCTGATGAGGCCACTGCCAACGTGCCATAATGGGATTCTGATGAGGCCGCTGCCAACGTGCCATAATGGGAGTCTGATAAGGCCACTGCCAACGTGCCAAAATGGGAGTCTGATAAGGCTGCTGCCAACGTGCATATGTTCCAGATAATGGAACATATGCACGTTTGCAGCGGCCATTATGGACTCCCATTATGGCTTTCCCTCCCCCTTCTCCCCTCGCCATCACGATCATCATGGTGCAGCAGCTGTCCGCCCTTAAGGCCATCAACGTCCTTTAAAACGTGCATACGTCACTCTTACCCTTTTTTCTCTCTTCCCGGTTCTCTCACTTCTTGTCTCTACCCCTCCCCTTCCCCCCCCGGTCTTCCCGCCCCCCCATCAGGATCATCATGGTGCAGCAGCTGTCCGCCCTTGAGACCATCAACGTCCGTTACAACGTGTACGCGTCGCTCGACGACACAACGTCGCAGTTCTGGGCGTTGAACACGACCTCGAAGGGCTTTGAGAGCGCGATGCAGGTGTACCGAACCATGGATGATATCATCAAGCTTCGCTCCTTCTACTTCGCGATTCAAGGAATCAAGTGAGTTGCGGGCTTTCCTTGCAGCATGCACGCCCATGTAGTCTGCCCAGGGAATTGCAGTTCTGGGCGGGGAACTGCAATTCCCTGCCCATGTAGTCTGCCCGAGGAACAACATGGCCTCGAAGGGCTTTGAGAGCGCCATGCAGGTGTACCACAATATGAACGCTTTTGAGTCGACTCAAAAGCAATATGGATGACCTCATCAAGCTGCGGTCCTTCTACTTCGCGAACCAAGGAATCAAGCGAGTGGCCACTGGCTAGGGTATGGAGTAGGTCAGGTGATGTAAGGACACAACTCGACCGGAGGGGCGTTGAGAGCACCATGCTGCAGGTGTGCACCACCAAGGATGATATTGTCAGGCTTCGCTGGTTTTGAGGCGCCCCAAAACTATGATATTGTCACGCTTCGCTGGTTTTGAGGCGCCTCAAAACCATGTAGTCTGCCCAGGGCTTCGCTGCTTCTACTCCGCCATCCAGGAAATCAAGTGAGTGAGCTAGGGATACAGACATAGACATGTATGTATCGGAGAGAGACCTCGAGGGGCTTTAAGAGCGTCATGCGGATGTATCAATCAGACCAAGGATGACATCATCAGGCGTCGCTCCTTCTACGCCGCCATCCAGGAAATCAAGTGAGCTTATCGCCTGACAGCGTGCCTGACGGCGTGCATGTCAACTAGTTGTGAGGTGCCTTGCAACACGGCCCAGGGAATTACACATGCCCTCTTCCTTCCCCCCCCCCCCCCCCCCCCCCCCTCTCAGTGTATTCTTCATGGTACAGCAGTTACTTAAGTTAATGGACTTCCAACCCCGCATCAGCATCATCACACGCACCAAGGCAGCAGCAGCCCTCCCATGTGCCACGTGTCATGTGCATTCCGTACCTGCCCCCTCGTCGCCCTCCGATCTTTGAGGCGCCTCAAAAATAGATCCCTCCGATCTGTCATTGCCCACTCCACTCCCCCCCTTTTTTCCCCTTCCCCCCTCCCATCCGCAGTGGGACGCCTGCTCATGGTGATGGACTTTCAACCGCGAATCGGCATCATCACGCGCACCATGGCGGCGGCCGTTCCAGCCATCCTCCACTTCTTCCTCGACTTCGGCATCATCTTCCTCGGCCTCTCCTTCTACGGCTACCTCGTGTTCAGCCCTGCGCCCCACAAGCACTGCACTGCCATCCGTACACTCACCCCTTTCCCCTCTCTGTCTCTGGCCCCCCTCCTCCCCCCCTCCCCCCACTCCCCCGTCCCCCTGACCCCCTCTCCCTCCTCCCTATCCGTCAGTGTGTTCTTGATGGTGCAACGGCTACTTAAGTTAATGGACTTCCAGCCGCCCATCCGCAGCATCACCCACGCCATCAGCCGCCAGGTGTCATTGCCCACTCCACTCCCCCCCTTCTTTCCCCTTCCCCCTCCCATCTGCAGTGTGTTCCTCATGGTGCAACGCCTCCTCAAGCTGATGGACTTTCAACCGCGAATCGGCATCATCACGCGCACCATGGCGGCGGCCCTCCCAGCCATCCTCCACTTCTTCCTCGTCTTCGGCATCATCTTCCTCGGATTCTCCTTCTACGGCTACCTCGTGTTCGGCCGCACCCTCGAGCAGTTCCGCACCATCCCCAACTCCATGCTCTCCTGCTTCTTCATGCTCATTCAAGACAACGCCGCCGCGTACTATTTCGTGATGCTCGAGGGGTGGGAGCGGCTGGCGGCGTTCGTCTTCTGGCTGTCGTTTGTGGTGATCATGGTGTTTATTCTGATGAACGTAGTGATTGCCATAGTGGTGGATGCGTTTATGGATGTGAAGGAAGCGGCGCAGGAGGAGACGGCGCTCCCGATGGACATCTGGATTCTGCTGAGGAACCTGTGGCAGCGCATCTGCACCCCGTATTGGAGCCTGAGGAAATTGCGCCATCATTTGTTGTTCCTGGGCACGCACGAGAAGACCAAGGAGGAGGTGAGGACTACTTCTTTTGTGTGAGGTGTGCGCGTGGCTTAGGTGCTGCTGAGGAACCTGTGGCAGCGCATCTGCACCCCGTATTGGAGCGTGCGGAAGCTGAGGCACCACCTGCTGTTCCTGGGGACGCATGAGGAGACCAAAGAGGAGGTGAGAGGAGGAGGTGTGTGACTCTGGGGGCTGACGGATTTCTGCTCTGCACCCCCTACTGAAGCCTGAGGAAGCTCGGCATCACCTGCTGTTCTTTGGCTCATACGAAAAGTCCAAGGAGGGGGTGAGGGTGGGGAGAGAGAGAGGTGTGTGCGTGTATGTGTGTTGGGGAGAGTGTGAGGTGTCTGCATGGCTCTGCTTGCTGCTGCGGATCTGTGGAGATTCCACATCGCCTCCCATGCTACAACCCTAGTGAGGAGCCTATTTTTGAGGCGCCTAAAAAAGTGGCGCCCCAAAAATAGATCTGTAGAGATTCCGCATCGCCTCCCATGCTACAACCCTAGTGCAACTGCATCCAACCTTCCCCCCCTTACCCCCACTCTCCTTCTCACCTCCAATACAGGTGGAAGCTTTTGCAAAGCAGCGCAAGTTGGCGGGGAGAGAGGTGGCGGAGATGCTGAGAAAGGGGTGCCTCATGTCGCGGAAGAAGACAGATACGCAGACAAACCAAACCAAGAGATAAACAGCATCCAACCTCTCCCCCCTTACCCCCACTCTTATTCTCTCCTCCAATACAGGAGGAAGCGCTGGCAAAGCAGGGCAGGTCAGCAGTGAGAGAGGTGGCTGAGATGTTGAAAAAAGGGTGCTTCATGGCGCAGCAGGAGCAGGAGACGCTGAGGCTGAGGCGAATCCTCCTGCTACATCTCTCACCCTCTCCCCCCCCTCTCTCCCCCCCTCTCTCCCCCCCTTCCCCCCCCTCTCCCCGCCTTCTCTCCCCCGCCCCTCAATCCAGGAGGAAGCTTTGGCAAAGCAGCGCAAGTCAGCGGTGCGAGAGGTGGCGGAGATGCTTAGGAAGGGGTGCTTCATGTCGCAGCAGGAGCGGGAGACGCTGCGGCGGATCCACCAGACGAAGAGGATCGTGGATGTGGGCATCGACAAGATGGACATGATGTCGCTCTATGCCCTCATGAACCGCACCTACGAGCGCAAGGTGGGTTGGCTTGGTGGGTTGACCTAGCACTCACTAGGATGCACCAGACCAAAGCTAGAGGGTTGTGGATGTGGGGATCGACAAGATGGACATGATGTCGCTCTATGCGCTTATGAAGCGCACATACGAACGCAAGGTATGGGTCGGTCGGGCTGGGAGTGTGGTGCTAGGCAAGGAACCGGGTACTTGCTCTCGTGCGTGCTATTGTGGGGATAGACAAAATGGACATGAGGTAGCTGTGTGCCCTCATGAACAGTACTTATGAGCGCAAGGTATGGGCCTGCGTGCCATGTGGTGCTTGGCATGCTGGCAGGTGGACTTGCTTTTCTGCTCTTGCTGCAGCAGACAACGAGGATCGTGGATGTGGGGATAGATGAGAGATGGATCATGGACATGATGTAGCCGTGAGCGCCATCTCTCTCGCCCACTCTTCTCGACCCCTCAGATGGCGTCGATGAGTCCCACCAAGGTGGCCAGCAAGTCTCAGCACGTCGACCCTGTCACCATAGCTGAGTCAGTCATGGGTCAGTATGGAGAGAGCGTGCAAGCGGCACTCCTAACACCCCCACTTTCCCCCTTCCTCCTACCCGCCCCTATCCCTCTCCTTCCCATCCTCTCCCCACAACCCCTCAGATGGCATCTATGAGTCCCACCAAGGCGGCCAGCAAGTCGCAGCACGTCGACCCAGTCACCCTAGCCGAGTCAGTCATGGGGCAATTCGGGGAGAACGTGGAAGTGGCGCTGCTAGGAGAGAAGCCCAAGAAGGGCAAGAGTGGGGAGATGTCACATATCAAGCGGTCCCTGCAGCGGCTAGAGGAGAACGCGGACGAGACGGCGTACGTGCTCCTACAGGTGCAGGAATCTTTGGAGAAGATGAGGCGAGAGCAGGAGGATATGCAGCAGCACCAGCAGCTGATGCTGCTGAGGGGGGTGGGGAGGGGGAGTTTAAGAGAGGCCAGTGTGGGGCTGGGGGGACGCGGGAGACAGTGGAGCAGGGTACGAAGGCGGGAGGAGGATGATGATGATGATGACGACGATGGTGATGCTGATGTTTCGGCTGCTGCTGCTTCTCGTGGTTGGTTGGGGGGCGGGGGCAGCAGCGGGGACGGCGGCGCTGGTGGCGCTGGTGGTGCTGGTGCTAGTGGTTTTGGTGGTGATGGCACTGGTGATGGTGCTTCCGGTGGTTCTGGCAAGGGGTTGACCCACTCAACGAGTGCAGGAGAGGACACGATAATCAAGCAGCTCACCCGGTCTGTCTCCGGCATGAAAGGAAGCCTATCCTTTGGGCAGCTCGCCCCCCCCTCCCCCTTGCACACCCCGCACAGCCACAGCCTCAACAGCCCTAACATGGTTGGGTTTATGACTCGGAGGCGCACGGACAGTGCGCTATTACTGGGAAACAGGCACTCTCCCCACGTGGCTGGCCTTGCTGGTGGGCTGAATTTCAGTGCAGGCGTGGGAGGGGGAGGAATGGGGGGCGGGGTTGGAGGGCTGAGTCCGATACATAGTGTGGTCAGTGGGCATGTGGGCAGCCATATGGGGCATCAGGCTGGGTATATGGGACAGGCGGGGTTGACTCCTATAGGGTCTCATAGCATGGGGATGCTGGGGGCAGGGCATGGGGGGGGGTGAGGATGGGGGAGGAGGGGGTCAGGAAGAGGCGGGCGCGAATGGCTCATATGAAGTCTCTGGGGGGGATGAGCCGAGTATTCTAGATGCCGTTGCACAGTTTGGGGCGGGGATGGGGGGGATGGGGGGGATGGGGGGATGGGGGGGATGGGGGGGATGCTGGGGATGGGCGGGGAGGAGGTGGGGAACACGAGCGGCCGGCACCGGGCGGCGACTTTCGGCAGCATGCCGAGAGGGATGGGGGAGGATCTACGGAGTGTGAGCATGAGAAGGAAACCGATGGAGTTTCCATCCATGGGAGCGGGGATGGGGATGGGGATGGGTATGGGTATGGGGCGGGGGATGGGTGAGGATTCAGGGAATATTAGCGGGCGGCGACGACCAGTAGAGTTTGGGTCCATGAGACGAGGAATGCCGGGCGGAGGCATGGTAGGGCCGGGAATGGGTTCTCCGTTCCGGGGTGGCGGGTTCTTAGGCTCGGGACCGAGCGGGCTGGCGCAGCCTCGGTCGATCATGCCTGATGGTGGGATCGTGAGTCGGAGGTTCGGGGAGGGGGTGGGGGTGGGTAGTAGGAGAATGGGGGGGTGGATAAGCAAGGGAGCAGGGCTGCGGCTTTGCTTGCGGAGCTTCAGGCGGCGCGGGCGGCGGGAGGGGCGGGAAGCTGGACGAGGATTCATGATGGGGAGGTGAAGAAGGTGCCGGTGAAAAGCTTGTTACAGAAAGAGGCCGATGAATTATGAACTGCTCTTTGTATAAACATTAACCTAGGACTAATCCAGATAAACATATTGTTTTGAGGGGACATTGTATACTCCAATATTGTTTCCAATATTCTTTCGTTTCTTTGTCATAGAAGGAACATATCTGTGAGTTCACGGCAAAAATCTACCTCCTCTTCTCAAAACGACTTCGTTTCGTTTTGTGTATGTCAATTCCTCTTACCGGCCTTCTTTACAACATTAGGGCAGACATAAACGCGGATTTTATGGCTCCTGCTGGTAATATCTATCACCACATCTCGCCTCGCCTCGACTCGCCTCCTCGGAGCACATACAGCAGCAGAAGGCCAAATCGTCAGTGGGATTCCGAAGACTGCGTTTTAGCGAATCCCGCTCGTTTATTGTATGCTCCCTCCACGGTGCTCGTGTCTCCCTCCTGTGTGTCAGCTGAAGCCGCGCGGAGTCCCTAGACAGGAGGGCGACCCCTTGTGCTGAGGCCTGAAACCAGAGAGCTTGAGATTAAGATTGGAATTGGGATTTATTTTTGGGCTGTCAGCGTCCGCTTTATAAGATTCATCCGTAGCTGCCGTTGCGTTGCCCGCCATGTCGAGGCGCTATGACAGTCGCACGACGACGTTTTCGCCGGAAGGACGGCTGTTCCAGGTGGGCGATCCCACGATAATGAGTGATTCGTTAAAAGGATTCGTTAGAAGGATTCAGTTTGATTCGTGAAAGGGCGCTTGCGTAGATCCGCCTTCGTGCTTCCGTCGTATTATCAGCTAGTTTCAGATTCAATAGTCTGAAGACTGCCGACGGTTCAAATTCGTTCGGCGGAACGAATCTCGTTCAACTGATCCAGTTTCGTGGGTGATGCGAATCAGTTTAAAGAAAATCGAATCTGCAAGGAGTTTCCAGTTTAGGTCTTGACGGATAACGACGACGTCAAATTCTGACTGAAATATGATACTGCTCAATTCCTGCACGCTGCTTAGGTTCGGACATTGGTATCCTGGCAACAAACGGAGTGGCTTTGCTTATATACTTTGGTATTTTCAGATATCATATCCGTACTGACAGCAGATAGGAGGACTACATCCAGGCTGTCACAGAGCAGCCTTCCCCCCCTCAGCCCCCCACCCCCCTCTCTCCCCACTCCTCCCCTCTCATGCTCCTTCCCCATTCAATTTCACCGGGCAGAGCACGCGATGGGAGCAATAAGCCACGCTGGATCAGCCATAGGCACTCTGACGACGGACCGTGTTGTCCTGGCAGCGGAGACGCGCATCACGTCGAAAGACTGTGAACCCACCTCTTCCCCCCCCCCAACCTCTCCTCCTCCCTCCCCGCTCCCTCCTTCCATCTTCAGGAGGAATATGCGATGGAGGCGATCAGCCACGCGGGGCCAGCCATAGGCATCCTGGCAACAGACGGAGTGGTGCTGGCAGCGGAGACGCGCATCACGTCGAAGCTGCTGGAGAGCAGCAAGACGAACACGCTCCCCTTTCCCCCTCTTCCCCCTCCCACCCCACCCCTTCCCACCCCTCCCCACCCCTCCGCCCCCGCCTCTTCCCCTCGTCCCCACTACTCGTCTCTGATTCTCGTGTTCTCCCCTCCCTCTATTTCCAGGTGGAATATGCGATGGAGGCGATCAGTCACACAGGGTCGGCCATAGGCATTCTGGCCACAGATGGAGTGGTGCGGGCGGCTGAGAAGCGCATCACGTCGAAGCTGCTGGAGAGCAGCAAGTCTGGAATCCCCCACTCCCCACACATTTCCCCCCCGCATTCCCTCCCCCTTCCCTCCCTCTATATCCAGGTGGAATATGCGATGGAGGCGATCAGCCACGCCGGATCAGCCATAGGCATTCTGGCAACAGACGGCGTGGTTCTGGCGGCTGAAAAGCGCATCACGTCGAAGCTGCTGGAGAGCAGCAAGACGAACGAGAAGATGTACCGGATCGACGACCACGTGGCTGCTGCTGTGGCTGGGATAACCGCTGATGCAAACATTCTGGTCAATTCTGCTCGGCTTGCGGCCCAGCGATACTCATATGCGTACCAGGTGTGTTTGTAGCTCATATGAATCGTAGGTGATTTTTTAGTCGACTCAAAAATCACATATGAATCGGCATCCTGGAGATCAGCAAGACGAACGAGAAGATGTGCCGAATTGATGACCACGTGGCTGCTGCCGTGGCCGGAAATACTGATGATGCAAACATTCTAGTCAACTCTGCTCGGCTCGCAGCCCAGCGATACTCTTACGCTAATCAGGTGTGTCGTAGCGCGTATATATCTAGTGCCAATCAGTAGAGAGTTGTGTTATTGCTTGTGGTAGGGAAAACGGTTGAGGCGAATATTCTTGACAATTCTGCTTGGCTTGCTGCCCGGCGATACTCGTACACTAATCCGGTGTTTTTATGCTGGTGCGTATGAATGTGAATATGTTCAGCGTTTAGTTTTGAGGCGCCTCAAAACTTATCCGGTGTTTTTATCATGGTGCGTATGAATGTGAATATGTACAGCGGGCTGTGGGTGCAGATGTACATCTGGTGCAATCTCTATGCGTCACCAATCAGGGCTGCGCCTGACATCCATTCCTCGTTCCCCTTCCCACTTCCCCCCCCACTCCCTTTGCCATTTCAGCACGAGCCCATTCCTCTGGAGCAGCTGGTGCAGTCTCTGTGCGACACCAAGCAGGGCTGCCCCTGACTCCCTATCTCTCTCACCCCTCGCTCCCCCTTCTCTTGTTTTTTCTCCTTCGCCCTTGAACAGGAGCCCATTCCTCTGGAGCAGCTGGTGCAGTCTCTATGCGACACCAAGCAGGGCTACACACAGTTTGGCGGCCTGCGCCCCTTCGGCGTTTCCTTCCTCTTCGCAGGTATGTTTCTTGCTCGGCCGTTTTCAGGGATGGACTTGGCAGGTGTAGTACCGCAAACTGCGGCTGTGCGTAGTCCTTTCCCCTCGCACCCTTATGGTTTCCCTGTTATTTCCCCCCTACCGCCCCTTTCATTTTCCTCTCCTTCACCCTCCCTTTAGGTTGGGACAAGCACCACCAGTTCCAGCTGTACCACTCAGACCCTTCGGGAAACTACGGCGGGTGGCGTGCGTGCGCCATAGGGGCCAATCACGGCGCGGCGCAGTCTCTGCTGAAGCAGGAGTACAAGGAGGAGAAGGGGCCGGGAGGGGAGGCGATCCCAGGGATGGACCTGGAGGGAGCGGTGCAGCTGGCACTGAAGGTGCTGAGCAAGACCATGGACAGCACGAGCCTGAGTGCCGAGAAGATTGAGCTGGCTAAAGTGTGCCTGGAGGACGGGCAAGTCAGGTGAGGGGGGGTGGGGGGGGGGAGGGATGGGGGGGGGAGAACGATACAGAAGGTGCTGAGTAAGACCGTGGACAGCACGAGCCTGAGTGCCGGAAAGATTGAGCTGGCCAAAGTGTGCCTGGAGGACGGGCAAGGCAGGTGAGAGGGGGTGGGAGGGAGCAAATGATGGGGGAAAGACATTATGGAAAGTGATGAGTAAGAGCGTGTTCCTAAGAGCCTCTTCCCAGACAACCACTTCCCAGACTCACGTATGACCTTTAGAGCGTGTTCCAAAGACCCTTTTTCGGAATAAAACCGTTACATATTTGCGTTCCACCGCTCTCAACCACATAAAAACAGCTTGCGTCGAATTTTTTCTGTGCAGATTCGCGTGTGTCTGAAAACATGTTCGTCTGAAAAGAGGTTTTAAAACATGCCCCTGAATCTCGGGAAGCCGAACCTTGCTTCGCACTTTGCAGAACCGCACTGAAACATTTCGCATCAAAATTCGCGACACTGTAGCGCGCGAGTCTGGTAAGAGGTTGCTTGGGAAGAGGCTCGTAGGAACATGCACTAAGACCATGGACGACACTAGCCTGAGTCTGCTGAATGGGCCAAAGTGTGCCTGGAAGATGGACAAGTCAGGTGAGAAGGCCTGGGGAAAGAGGGGGTTGATGCTTGGGAGGAGGTCTGTTCGTAGGGGTTCCTTGCTCTCTTGTCGTTGCCTTGAAAGTGACATGTGGTCGCTGTGATGCTGTGTGGTGAGTGTGTGCAGGTACCATGTGTTTGGAGCCAAGGAGATTGACGAGCTGCTGCTGAAGTATGAGATGGCTCAACCCAAGGAGGAGGAGAGATGAGGATGGGGGGTTGGGGAAGGGGAGGGGAGGTTTGAGTACCTCCTGTGCCTGTATCTACGTCATATTGGTTGTATTGCGACTTTGAAATGTTAGCCACAATCTTACAGATCGCGTTTAGGGCGTGTCCCACTCACGCAACACCCTACCCAGCCACTTCAGATTGTTTGAGCTGTCTTACTCAGAGCGCATTTGACAGGATTCTATTTATCAGACTATTTTTGTCTGATTTTCTGAATCTGGAAACTGCAGCTCCTATTATGAAGACACGTTGTGTATGAAGTACATGGTAGAGTGTTCCGATTTCTTGAAAATCTGTCTGAAGCCACAATTTCGGGTTTGCAAATTAGACGATCAGACAAAAAAAGTTTGATAAATAGAACCCTGATTTGACCAAACCTCAAACCCTGGGCTGGGACTTCTCTGAGAGTTTTGGCACAATACCCAGTCCCCATAGGCCACGGCTCCGAACATCTTTGTCATCACAAATATTTACTAACCAGAATACATTGAATGGCCAAGCAGCACGTGCAACACTCTGCAGTGTTGACTTTCATGTCTGTAAGCCAAGTATCTACATGGAGCTGCACTGAGCAGTCCTGGAGTTGCCTGCCACACGAGGGGATATGTATAGTGCGTCAAGAGGTTTGGCAACCGTCCATACCACCTCAAGCGTCCAGAAAATGTGGCTCTTACTTTCAGCTCATGTGGACCACAGCAGTCCTTGCTCATACTTTCTCCTGTGGCATTCGTGGGCTTGTGTGGGCTTTCGCTTGCTCAACCCTTTCTGCCTGTTGAGCATTCTTCGTCTTGTACTTGGCATAAGTGTACCACACTCCACCTACTGTGTTGACTGAAGAACCTGCTACAATAAGTGGAGTGGCCTTTACACCGCCAAGTACAAAGAACCCGATTGTCTGCAAGAGATCACAGAAGACCAGGTCAGGAACAGATGATGCTCAACAAGAACAGTGAAGCCATGGCAAATATTGTTTCATCTGCCACTGCTGACTATGAGGTGTACATACCGTGCCCAGGACACTTCGCAGAGTCCCAATGATTGTGGTGGTGAGGGCAGAATTGGAGATTGTACAGAAGAAGAGGGAGTAGTTAAGTAAGACCCCGACAGCTAGGGACACCACAAAGAGAATGGCAAACCCTAGGCTGTCAGGGCCGGACGAGAGCTCAATGAGTCTGGGGATGGACGTCTGTGCTTCGCCCGTGATTAGGGTTAGGACAGCGAGCACAGGAAATGACATGACGCCATTGTAGACCAAAAGATCGTTGGTAGTAAAACCTGTGAAAACAAAGGCAGTGTCAGGCTAGGTACTTCACCTAAAGGATCAACCAGAGAAGGCGAACGCATGCCCTCAGAATCTTTTGCTGAAAAACACAGGGGACCGTTTCTTACCTTTTTGTGAACCTGATCGTTCAACAAGGATCAAGTATGCTGTTTGAAGCATGCAGCTCACTATGGCCCAAAGGTATCCCCGAGCATCAAAACTTAGGTCGCCCGCTCCAGCAAGAAAGCAACCTGGTGAGACAAGAGTGTCAAAAACGTCAGAAGGAGCTGGAAACACAATACACGAAACACGAACACGACGCAATAGCTTTCAAGCATTCACCTGAAACCACGGCGAGCACTGACAAGCAGACCTCCAGAGGTGGGGATCCATCCCCGATCAGAAACTTCGCGCAGAGGACCATGACAGGGGTGAGTCGCTTGAGCACGTGGTACACTGGAATGCTCAGAGCTTCCACAGCCGCCAGCGCGAAGGCGACGTTGGCGTTGTAAAAGAACACGACTCCGGAAAGCGACCTTGCCGAACTCCATTCAAACGGTCGTATTTCGATCAGGCCCAAGCACCCCAAGGTATACACGATGACTACGGATGCGGCCATTTGTAGCATGAGAAGGGAGTTCGAATAGGGCCATTGCATTAAGACGGCCTGCAAGGAAAGCGGACAGGGAGTTCAGGCCGCATTCTGGTATGGATTGTTGTTACTGACGAGAATTAGTTTGATCAGAAGCCTACCACTGGTTCTGTGGTAATGACGAGCTTCGTACCTTGTTTATGAAGCCCATGGCGAGTCCCACGAAACAGTAGAGGATAGCGGAAAATATGGAGTTGAACATAGGGACTGGAACTCGTTTCGAGGCCGAATCTCTCGCATCAGCGGAGGATTCAAGCTCTGGAATTGAGGACGGGCGAGGTATGGAGTCTCTGCCTTTAAGCGGGAGTAAAGCTTCCAGATTTATGTCTTCAGGTTTCGGGAATAGATATCGTAACAATAAAATATCTGCTCCTTTGTATAGTCCTGCAGGTGTTTACAATAAAGAGAGATCAGTTGATTTTTTCCCGCGACTGTCAGGAAAGAGTCCGGCTTTGGGAAACCGAAGAATCACCTAGAAATGCGTCTTTTGAAGTCTTCAGAGATCCGTTTCTTTCTGGAGCCATATCCTTGATTACCCTAGACGCCTTACACCTGTGGCTTCTTACGAGCGCCTTCCTCCCTTTCCGAACTACAGAGATGCTCGACAACACGAGTCCGATATCGTCGTTGATAGTACCTCAGAGACGCGCATTGGGAGCAGACATTGAGAAACTCCTACAAAGCTAACAGGTAGGAAGCTAAGAAGCGTACGCTCTCTCACGATCGTTCAGACAGAATCCCTGCAGCCGCTCCTGCTAACTACCCTGTTTCCTACAGCAATAGGCGTCTGCTGTGAAATAAGGAGTCCTTGCTGAACCAGAAGCCATTTCCATGAATCACAACCTCGAGATAACACCGCAACTTTTGTTGCTCACTGTTCAGAAGCAGACCTGCAGGCAGACTCGTTTTCAGGCTGGCGAGTCTACCTGCGTCCGATGAGGTCAAGGGATTTGGACTATCAGCGAGCTCCAGTGATGTTCGCGAAATGCCCGCAGCACTATAAGAGCGTCTGCGAGTAACTGCTGTATTTCGTGGATGCCGCTGCTGGTTTCGTGGATGTCGCTGCTTTGATTTCCAGGAACCAGATGGGGGAGGTTGGAGGAAAGATTCAGGTGACCGCGATCGTGGAAAGAAGAACAACGATCTGGTTGTTGGAAAACGAAAAAGTCTGTGCGCGGGCAGTCACCCAACCAGGGGGGCACCTCATCACCACCACCAGCGCCATCAGGTTCCTCCCAAGTCTAGGCGGTTCCACCACACCACACATTGACGCCGTCGTCGTAGTGTAACAATTGAATCAGTCAATCGGCCATCGTGCATTTCGCAGCCAATTGAACGATCTCGTTACACATAACGAGATTTCACGGGGAGAGCAAGAAGACACAACGACTGTGCAAGTTGCCGCCATGTGCTGCGTGGGGGTCAAACAACTGACCAGGTCTGGAGTCGCAGGTGTGCACCAACTCCTAAAGGCGCGTGTGGTGAGATAGAGAACTCTGCGAGCGGTTACACGTTTTGGGTGCAGCGTTACGAGCAGCAAAATTGTTATGATATAGGAAGTGTCAATGTACTATAACGTGAGAAAACAAGGTCGCTATTGCAATGAAGGTACGAGGTTATATAGGGATTGGCGTGCTAGGGCGATAAACTCGGAACGTGGGTAGGTTCGGAAACGTGGCAACAGTGCCGGACGTGACTCGGGAAAGGGTTGGGCCGACAATTGAGGCCGAACGTGACGAGTCGAAGAGTTCAGGTGTACGCGCTAGCGTACAACTTGTCGAGAAGAAAAACTGAGTAAGTGTTGTTGATAGAGAGAGAGTACAAGGGTATATACCTAAGAGTGTTGTACCCTCTAAGAGGTGACCCCTATACAGTCTATACAAATATGTGTTATACATATGTTTGACACGACTCAGTAAGGAATGGAAATTCCTTACACTACCCCCCCCCCCCCCCCTCCTAAACGAGACCGCGGGCATCGGAAACATTCCGACGCTTATAATACGCTGTTAGAATCGGGTGTGATTCTAGCTCAGCGAACGGCATCCAGCTGTCATCTTCTAACGTGCGATCGCGCCAGCGGACGAGAAAATCAACCAGCCGCCGGTTCAGCTGTGTCGTGACGCGATGACCGAGAATTTTCAAAGGCTCGGTGGTCGGTTCCTGCAAAGGGCGTCAGCTGCGGTACACATCGTTGGCGTGCCAAGTTCGACAAACTGGGGACGTAAGGCCGTAACAGGCTGACGTGGAAAGCCGGGTGGTGTCGCCAATTGGCCAGGAGTCGGAGGTGAGCAGTGGCAGGTGTCACCATATTTGTCACTTGAAAAGGTCCGCAGAATCTGGGTTTGAGTTTGCTCGGAATTGGCAGCCGCAAATTGCGAGTGTCGAGGAGGACTAGATCTCCTACTTTGTAGATGACGTCACGTCGATGGCGATCGGCTTGTCGGCTTACGACCAGGTTGGCTTTCCGGATGGCCTCAGCTGCTTTTTCTCGGGCGGCGAGAATGTCTTCAGCAAATTTCTGGGACCAGGGCACGGGTGTCTCGATGTTTCGGGTAGTTAGTACCACTGGGTCCTGTCCGTAGTTAAGGAAGAAAGGGGACTAATGGGTTGTGGTGGAAGGCGCATTATTATACGCGAATTCCAGTAGCGGAAGGGATTTCTCCCATGTCTGTGGGTCAATACAGGTATTCCGAATGAGCTGCTCCATTATTTGGTTGACTCGTTCAGTCTGCCCGTCGGTCTGTGGGTGGTAGGCAGAGGAAAATGTAGTTTGGTGCCGAACTGGTCCCACAGGTGGTGCCATAAATTCGATGTGAATTTCGGGTATCAATCAGAAATAATCGCGATAGGCAGTCCGTGCACTCGAATGATGTTGGCGATGAACAGCTGGGGCAGTTTGCTGGCAGTAATTGCCTGTTGGCAAGCGATGAAATGCGCCCATTTTCGTGAGTCGATCGACGACCATGAGAATGGCGTCGTTTCCGCTGGGACCGGCTGGCAGTCCTGTCGCGTAGTCCATCGTGATATGTTGCCAAGGTCTCTCGGGCGGATCCAACGGCTGTAGTAGTCCGGCTGCTCGCTGATGAAAGGATTTCATCATTTGGCAGACGGTGCAGGAGGACACGTACTTGCGCACGTCGTCAGCCATGTTCGGCCAATTATAGTTGCGCTGCAACGTCTTCGTAGTTTTGTCGACTCCGAAATGCCCGGAAGTAGGGTTGTCGTGGGATTCGTGTATTAAAAAGGTACGAAGTAAGTCGTAGACGGGCACCCAAATGCGGGAAGTATCGCGCTTATTAAAATGGTGTCTGGTGGCGGTGGTGTGCTGTTGATGAATAGCAGAGCGGAAGAACGGGTCGATCTTGTAGCGTGGGTA